TCCTTTGTGATTGGCTAGAGTGATTACTTCGGCTGGAATTGATTGGTTTATTGCACGATGCAATAATATTTTCTGTAATAAGTTATTTTAAGGCAAGAGAGAGTACAAATAAAGATTGTTGTTGTTGTTGATGATGCTATTGTTACTTGGAGTTCTTAACACTTGTGAAGCGTGACCTCAGTGGCAAAATGGGTTTCAATGAATTCAAGGAGTTATGGGCAGCCCTAAACCAGTGGAAGGTAGGTCAAATAGAAAGAATGTACTAAGTTTTGTTTTCTGAAACAATAGCTATTAAAGTGGAAGCTACTGTCAAACCAAGTGAAGCGTACCCATCAAGATTACATTTAATGAATTGATTATTTGAATATTGAATCTGCCAGTCGTTTCAAGAATGCAATAATGAATTGATTACTGGAAAATAGAACCCACCAGTCGTTCCAAGAATACGGCTAATGGGTTTAATGTTAAAAAAAAAATCAATTCAGTATTGATTTTTCAAACGACTAGCAAGTTCAATATTCAAGTAATCAATTCATTATTGCATTCTTGAAACGACTCGCAGGTTCAGTATTCAAATAATCAATTCATTAATGTAATCTTAAGGGGTAGGATTCACTCGGTTTGACTGTAATAATTCAAGTGGAAAGAACTTAATTTCTGATTTCTGAATGACCATTCAGGTTGACAAACTTTCTTATTACATTGTTTCAGTAAAGTTTACTCTGATACTGATTTACAGCTTCACCCCTTAAACTCAAGTGCAGCTGCTTACAGAAACGTTAATTCAAGAGAGCACTATTTCCAACTCATCTCTTTTACATGTAGCTACATGTCTACAGGCAATATAATATATCTATGCAATTTGTTGTCAGTTTTGCATACATGTGAAGTTTGCTAACTGCTTGCAGTAGGCGTATTTGTGATTAAATAAGGGTTTACCAATTGAAAACCTGTTGTTACATGGTCTCAGAAAGTGTTATGATCACCACAGAGATTTTCACTGAACTCGCATGAATTTGTTTTGACAAAATTGTTTCATAGGTTATTAAGCCTCTGCGTTCTCAGACTCCTAGATGCCATGAAAGTTCTATAACCTGCCTCCCCTTATAGAGGTTTCAGATTCTGAATTAAACCCCTGTTCTTTATTTTAAAGCCCCCCCCCCCCTCCCCTCACTCTCCTGTTGCTAGTGTTTTTAAAGATCCCCCCTTCCCTTTGGAGCAGTGTGAATACAAGTGAAAGACATGTAATAGTCCACTTAATTCATTGCCAGTTTTTATTAATATATGATATGTAAACTTGTGAGGCATGCATGTATGCTTATTAATTTCAGACTTGCTTTTAACTGGATGTTATAAACTTGTATATATACACCTGTAGTTTAGTTTTCATTTCTTACATTAATGTCCAACACTTACGTGTAGCACTTTTTTATCAAACGAAATTTGCTATTAAAAGATAAGCAAATAGATTCTGTATTGCCATGCATCTGTTCAGTGATAGATCACAGATGATGTCAAAATGTGGTAAGGAAAAAGTAGCACACAAGCTGTTACACGGATGTGTCACTGATGTTGTTACCACATTTTGACATCTTACAACTGTGATCTATTACTAAACAAATGCACATCAATAAAAATACAAGTCCAGATTACATGTAGTTTGACTTTTTATGTATAATTATTTTGACTATAATCCTGCTACCAACAGGCTTCCAAAATCTATCGATGTCTGAATATTTTTAGTGATTTTAATTCCAAACTTTGTGCTGTATCACAGACTACCTTCATGCAGTATGATGCAGACAGGTCAGGTACAGTTGAACCACATGAGTTACATGCGGCCCTCTCTGCCTTTGGTAAGAGTTTTGTTTGTTCACATGCATGAATTCATGCACATACTAGTTATGCAACACTTTCAATTGGTATATCATGGGATATCCCACAAGTCACTTATACATTCTTGGTGTACCAACACATAATACAAGTGACAAGCAGGGTATTTCCACGGTATACCACAAGAGAGTGTTGCGTAACTGTTTTACACCCTGCTATAGAAAATACAGTGGCCAGCACAATCAAAGCGACATATGCATGGCACATGATATGTTCAACAAATATGTGATTTTTATTTTTAGTTTAGTTCTCTATATTTTGGGGGTGTTTTTAATAAAACAATTATTCCATTTGCGCTTGTTGATTATGAGATGATTATAGCCATCTATATATAGCTATCTACCATCTCATATCCAACGCGCACTCGTGGAATATTCAAAGCTCAAATTAAAGAAGGGACACAGTAAGTCCTTAGTAAGACCTACGCTGTAAGACTTGGGCGAGGACAACGGAGGTGAGGCTACTGGAGGGGAGTCAGATAACTTTGAAATGTCTGTGGCTCCCTTTCCTAACATACTTTTGTCGTCGTAAGATGATCGTCTTGCTTGAGGATGTAAGTCAAGGATTCTGGTCTCATTTAGGCTGTTCAAGCAAAAACACCAATACGTGTATTTTTAGCTGGACAAGGTATCCTTTAGTGTGCACTCAAAGAAATAGTAATAAAATGGTATCCTTTAGGGGTCAAATAAAGCTGGAGCCACGCGTAGATGGGTCTCCTTTTGGGGCACAATTCAAATTTTCTGTGGAGCGTCCCCAACCTTTTCATGCGGGAATCCCATCCCCCCACCCCCTGATCAAGGCATTATTTAAAACCAATGTCTTGAATGTAGTCGATCTTAAGTAAGTGCATTTACGTGTTTATCTTGTTTTGCAGGTTATAGATTAAGTCCAAACGCGTTGAATGTCATTGTGAAGCGGTACTCGACTGATCACCGAATCACTTTCGACGATTTCGTAGCTTGCTGTGTGAGGCTGCGAGCGTTGACTGGTATGTACAGCGGGTTTCCTTCTCTCATCTACCGTAATTATTTTGCGCCTTCCTTTCAATTAGCGCCCCTTGCAATAAGCACTTCCTCATTCTTATTCCTGTAAAGTGTACTTCACAAGTTTACCCGGTTTGTCTTTGAAGCGAGATTCCTATTTATACGGCGATCGTTGCCGACCTTATTGTTACATTTTGCTTCATTAGTATACGACTTTGCGTTTAGAAGGCATCATGTAAGAAATGAAGTGACCCAGAACAGTTAAAGAGCTTGTGAAACTTATAACATGGTGAAAGTTTTAGCTCTTTGGTTTAAATATATAAGATGATATTCGCTTTCAGAAACTGCCCAATTTCTGTGTGGCAAAAGCGCTAATGAGCCCTTACATCCTTTGCTAAATTTTGCGCTTTGAAACCCGCTTCGTCCAAAATCCTGATCGGTCTCAAATTCCTTGGGTCAGTTGTGCCATGCCCTTTCAACATTCAGAACTGCTATACTTGTAGCTAGATCAGAAACTGAATTGCTAATGTTAATGAGGCAAATTTTGTGAATAAAGATTCCTCTATTTCAGTGTATTAATCTGTTCACAAACCTTTTATTGTCTCTTGAGGCTGCGAACAAAACTATAGACTGAAATCATAGTCATCGTAAATCCATATCCTGACTAGCCTGTGTAGTATTCACAGCTCAAGGAATTTGAGTTTTCGCATTTTGGCCGCGCGAAAATTGGGGCGAGGGCAAATACATAGGAGGAAGGGGGGGAAGGGAGGGCAAGAAACCAGGTTCTTCCCAACTCCCCTCCTTTTTTTCAGTCTCTCCTCCTGCGCACCTAAATGCAGGAGAGCTTGCTACTCTCACTATGAATCCTTTGCTAATTGTTTTTAATATTGTTTTACAGATCAGTTTAGAAGACGCGACGCGGCGCAGAATGGGGTTGCGAATTTCCAGTATGATGACGTAAGTTGTTTGTTTATTTATGTTTTTTTAACCTGCTCCTAATGTATGTCCTTTGAAATTACCCTTTTTTCGTGCTTCTGTTCAGGCCCTATTCACACTGCTGAAAACGGAGGTTTGTTTCGTTTAACATTCACATCGATTTTTTTGCACGTTATTAAAACAAATACCTTAAAATTCACAAAGTATTCCAAGGGCGTATTTGTTTAAAAGGTGTTACTGGCGAGTTTATTCTCGGAAAAGCATTCGGCTTTTTTTAAATGGTCGGGCTTATACAGTCGAACCTCCCGTAAGCGACTACCCAAAACGTCAAGCCTAGGTGGTCGTTTAAGGGAGGTGGTCGCTTACGAGAGCAAAAATTGGCCTCATTAGCATATGCTAAACTGCAGAGACTTACCCCATGTTTTAAGTCAATTTCGAGAAGAAAAAAAAAGCCAGTACTTCCCATTGAGAAATTTCCATCTCTTGCTACCAAGGAATGCGATAACGCTACAACATTTTATTATCCAGTTTTTGCAATTTTCTGTCAAGTGGTCGCTTAAGGGAGGTTAAGAACGAAAGAAAATTTCAAAGTTTTAGCTCTAAAAGTGGTCGCGGTCACTTACGAGAGGTGGTCGCCTACAAGACGTTCCAAATATGGTGATTCAGGTGACTTGGAAACTTTTGGTATTTTGGAAAACTGATCGCTGAGGAGAGGTGGTCGCTTACGAGAGGTGGTTGCAACCGGAGGTTCGACTGTATCTGAAAAGGACTTATGTTCATAAGAATACTTAATCAGCATGTCAAATCTGTGACTCTTAGTGTCACGATGTGAAACACGAAGCTCTTCTATATGACCAGTTAAACATCAAGAGGGCATAAAGTCAAGAGCACTCTTACAGTAAAGGGCGTTATAATGGAGAGTAGCTTTAGACTGTGAGTAGTCTCTCTTTTGCTCGAAGATCTGCGAGAGAAGAACGTAAACCAGACGAGCTCGTCTTCCGACGGCGGCTTTCCAGCAAAAGAGACTGGTCGCAATCTAGGAGTAACTCCACTGTTCTTTAACAGTTAAAACTTAGATATTATTACGCCATTCAAGGCTTAGACTGTACCCATTTTGGGCTTAGGTTTGGAAAGATTTTGCTACTGAAATGACTTTTACTTCTATTTTTTTCCTTTTTATTTGGGGGAGGGGTGAGGAGGGTGGTTCTTTGAATTGTCCGGTAGGTGTCCTCTGCCCCACCCTTGTACTGCCCCACATGTACAAGTGCCGGAGCTTGTGAGACACCGTGCGTTTCTTTGAGAATTTTAATTAACATTTTCTTTTTTGGTCGTTTGCAGTTCATCCAAGTCGCCATGTATTGCTAAGACGTTAGACAAGTTCCTGCAAGCTCTTCCAATTTTTCTGTTGATTAACTTTATTTTTAATTTTTTTTTTTTTTTTTTTT